AGTCTATTGCGGCAATGGAGTATTAAGTAGTCGAGAACGACGTGTATACTTGTACGCGGCCTGGCAAAACGAGACGCCATAGGCGTTTGAGTTATCGGCGTATTTCCATAACGTGCGAATTATTGCGAGATTTTATTGACGAAAAATGCGAACACGACAGAGAGGCGATGTTAGATACCGACGGAATTATGAAAGGCTCTCGTAAGATGGTAATTATTGCACGCGTGCATTCAATTGGTTCGTGTATCGCCCATCATTCCGTTTTACTCTCGCTAAAAAAAAAAAGAAATCAAGGACACCTCGCCAAACCAGTACGATTCCCGCGTTATCTCGACTCTTTCTCTGCACTTCTCACGGTTGGCAAATTTGTCATCGAGATGAATTTTATCGCGGTTGTACGTGCCGTTTCATTTTATTCGAACATTGAAGTGCGCAATTAACATTCTCTTCTGGATTCTGTGATCATTTTAAAAAAAGATAAAATCTTGAAATGTGTGAACGAAAGCGAGTCGGAACGAAGCCGACTAAATCGTAATAAATACACGGAAAAAAAAATGATTTTGCTAAAAATTTAGCTGGATACAGATTGAAAATAATTTCGTTGGACTGTCAAAATTATGTAGGACACTCAAATTAATTAAATAAACTTTTTGCAATATTGCTCATCATGCTTAAGTATTATTACATAATCATTTTGATGGTTCAAACATTATTTTATAGGTCAGTATCCTAGCTAAATTTTTAGATACTTTAGTAAAACCTTCTTTCCGTGTACAAACGACTTTTAAGAAGGCTTTTTCGGGAAAGAACATTATTCCGTTGCAATTTCTTAATTCAACATCATCTCGCAAAAAAATATAAAAATTAAGTAGACACACATGCATATACACATGTACACGACATGATCAAAACTCTCTCAATTCTCTCCACGTATATGTAAAAAAATATTACAAAAAGCATATAAATTTATTAAAATAAAGTCCAATTAATTCCCTATTTTCCGCATGGTAATCACCATACGTGTACATAATAACATCCCACGCTGTATATATATTCACCAATCCCGTCATAATCCCGTCGTTTCCTTCCCTGTTATCCGTGGACCCGCGAAAAATCGACCGAACCTGCCCGTTATTAGCGATAGTTGGGATCGAGAACCACCAAAGAATAGTTGGCGGTCGCTTGATTGCAGCGGTAACGGATACTTAGGCGTCTACGAGGGAGGGGCCGGTCGCGTCGCACGGGGATATGAGGGAGGTATACATCTAGCCCAGGTACAGACAAAGGGGCAGACCCTGGTGGAGAAAGGAAGGGGAGTAGATTCGGCGGAAACCGTGCGGAAGGCGCCTCAAGAGGATGCCGAGAGCATCCCTTCCCCGCCCCTCTTTCTCGAAGAGAAGAATAAGCAGTCGTCAGCAGGAGCGGGGCTGCGGCGCTCTCAAAGGACTCTCCTACTCTCTTTCTGCTTAAAACCTAAATATAACAGCCAGTCAAATGCAGTTCCTTTCCTCGATCGCGTTCCCCCGCGCCATATTGGACGCGCACGTGAAAACGCGACAGGTCGACGCGTCGGGACACCATGTGTACCTGGATAATATCGAAAGTAAAAGTATCTCGGAAGCCAAAGTATCCGTACTTCGGTATTGCTGATGCCACATGAAAAGAAACAATCTTGATAAAATATCTACAAATTTAGCTAGATAGATTTGAAAATAATTATGCAGGACGCTTAAATTAGTTGCCAGAATGTTAAAACTTTTCGCAGCATTGTCACAACATTGGACAGTTTGGACAGTTCGAATCTTAAGTGCGAACGTTAAATAATTCGGGCTGAATGTATGTTCAAAATATTTTAACCCACTTCAGAGCTGAAAGTTCGAAAGTATTACATTTCGAACTCAGACATCGCAAGTCGTCGTCCTCAGAATCATCCTGAATATGTCCAGGATGGCTCAGGATATTTGTAGGACGATATCAATATAGGAATTTTATTTAACTGCTCTTTTGTTTTCAAGGTATACTATATTTGTTTACTGTCCGAATCGTCCGAACTTCAGACATAACGAATTGACATTTCATACTGATCACTGCTTAAGCTCGAACTGTTCGAACTGTCCGAAATGTTCAAATTAGATGCTCATTTTTTTAAACTTCGAACTATTCGAATAGATCGAATATTCAACATGTTCGAATCTTTTGTCTGAGTCCTAGTTTAAACGTTCCACATAATTATTTTGGTCCAACAAAATTATTTTCACAGATCTATATATTCAGCTAAATTTTTAAATACTTCAGCAAAATTTTCTTTTCGTGACTTAAGAGAATTTCGGACAAAGATATTCCGTTGCAATTTCTTAATTCAGCATTATCTCACAAATAAATATAAAGATTGTGAAAAAGGTTAAGTAAACACGTGAATATGTATACACACGATATGATCTCTTTACATTCTCCATGCATTTCCCAAACGTTGTTTTAGTAATATTTTAAAGCAACTATATAAAATTATCAAATGTAATAAATTCGTTAATTTATTCCTTTATTTCTGTGATAGAAATATATCCTGTTTTTTAGGTGGAAACAAATACAAATTGTTTTTCATGTAGAAAAACAAATATAAATTGCTCTGCTATGAACCGCTGTGAAGTGAATTATTCGACAGTGGAGTAATATTTCTCGGATTTTGGAGAACAAAGAACACGACCTACTTTTCGTTATTCAAATGCTGACGTAATTTCTCCTGATTTATAATAAATGTTACCTAGTTCTCGTTTTCTCTCCCAAATCGACGGACGGTCAAGCGCAACGATTGAACCGTAACGACGCATGCGTCGTGATTCTCGAAATTGCGAGGCGATAGCGTGACGTCATCGGTATCTCTGACGTAGTTTCAGCATGGTATTAACCCATCGACCGGGTCAGGACATTACCTCAAATAACTAAAAACATCCTAATAACTTGCAGCCGAACAATGGCACTCTATCTATCATGGAAAACTTGATTCCCTCTACCCTTCCCACTGATTTTTATTCTGATTCATATATGCTTGACTTTCTGTCGAATGACAGAAATATTGATACTCCGATTCGGAGACGTATACAGCCTTGGCCAAAAATATTAGGCATCTATACTTTTTTCATTTATCTGGAATCCTTTTACCTGCATTATTAAGTACTTGTTGGTTATTGGTTTCATAAGTTTAAAGGTTCTTGAAGCAGAATAATTTACAGCAAATGTCGTAAATAAATTTTTAACTTGAAACTTGAAATAATGATTAATAAAGTGCCTAATATTTTTGGCCAAGGCAGTATTTTAAGATTTTCGAAGAAATAGAAACTTATCTCGAAATGTTGGATGTAAAAACACCCACAAATGCTTTACATATTTGGAACATCTTTTTCTTAAAAAAGAATCTGTATACATATAAAACAACTGCTACGTTATCTTATGTCAAAAATATGATTTTTGAAAGATTTTTTTATATCAAGAAATAAATAGGAATCCATATAAATTTTTCTCATAAAGATTTATGACATAAAATATTTTTAAATACTTTTTCCACGATTTTTTTTCTGATTTTTCTGATTTTTTTCTGAACGAGTGAAATATTATTTAGAAGAATGAGTTACCTTGAAATTTTTTTTTTTGACATTTGGGTACAGAATTCTTACATCGAGTATTTATTAATACCACGTTCGATAGAGGAGGTTTGAATCTTCTATGCGAGCGATTAAACCCAATTATATCTAATTTTCGTACTTTTATCTTCAATTAGAAACGTGATTGACATATAATAGAACAATTGCTTGGTATTTTTGATTTGACATTCTATACTCGATAGTTTCGACCTATATCAAAAACTAGGATGTACGTATAATAATTTTAGTTAGAAATGGAAGTTATAAAAATTGGATTTATTCGCTCCTGAATTAATCAAATCTACAGTCAAACGTTATAATTAAATCAGTCAATTTGAAAACATTATAAGTCCGATAACTGAAATTATTCAATGAAATGTAATATCGTCATTTATACAGTATAGATCAAAAACTGTACCGCAAATCACTCTGTGAAAGAATTTATCAGAAAAATAGGATATGTGAATTATTAGATTTTTTAAAATATTCTCAAAAAAAAAAACAGTTTTTCAGTCGACTCGTATCTCTGCACAAAAGAACGGTTTTGCTATTTAAAAATTTATATCAGATACAGAGCTGAAAATAATGTTGTTGGACCATCAAAATAATTATGTAGAGCACTTAAACCTTTATAACAATGTTGTACCAAGTTTTAACATTCTAACAACCAGTTTGAGTGTGATTATGTCACTTATAAATTAATCCCGATAACGAAGTAAACATTGTTCAAGTCTAAGCTTCAAAATATTCTTACATAATTATTTTAATAATCCAAACAAAATTATTTTCAGATCTAACCAAATTTTTAGATACTTGACTGAATCAGTTCTTCACTGAAAAATACTTTACTGAAAAACTGATTGAAAGTGAATGAACCAGTAGATTATGATCAATCAGAATTCTGCTTATCTCAACTAGAATTTAATAGATTTAACCAGATTCTGATTTGTCCATTTTTAACCAGAATTCCGATTAATGCAACTAGACTCTTTTTCCAGTGCAACAAAACCGTTCTTTCCGAGTGCAAAGTATCACGCTTTAAAATCTATTTTATCGAATTTTCCACCAATTTCGTCAAAGCTACTGTTCATACTCTTGAAACACGTATTATTTTCAAAGGATTTAATATCTAGAACGTAGCATTCCGCTACAGTGTTGTGCAAATTTACTTATCGTTTCTACGATAAAAAAAACTGGACGATCTACGCTTTCGCAAACACATCACGTTAACTGTCTCGTTTCCCGAAAATTATGGCCTGCCCATTGTTTCCGAACTGACCGATTTAATCCTGTTGGGGCGCCACATAGATTCGCGCGACAAATGATAATTGTGACCAAGATAAATGGATCTGAGAGACTCACCCTGCATTTTCAGTGGCAGCAATGGACATGTGCCTCCTCTCATCGAGGGTGGGCGCGGCGTCGAATTGCCGGGGGAGATCCGTGGTAATGAATTGAAAGTCACGCGTACACGAGAGACGTTCTCCTCTCTCTCTCTCTCTCTCTCTCTCTATCTCTTTCTTTCTCTCCGTTCTTCTCTTCCTTCTTGTGGGACACCACCCTCGCGCACCAACAGAACTTCTCACCACTACACCGTCGAAATCACCACCAAGCGACAACAGGGTCGTTAACCACCACGCGCGACACCAGTATCACAGAAATCAACACGCTCTCTCCGTCGCGATTCAGATACAAAGAAGAGAAGGGAAAGAAACCGCGAATCCGTTCGAATCCACCTTTTCCCACGACTTGGTCCATATATAACTCACGTAACGACTGAGTTCCCGTTCTCCGAGTACTTTCGGGGGAACGAAGTTGTGTGTACACGCGCGTGGATATCGTTCTCGCGATTAATCGTCGATTAGCCGACCGAGCTCGACGGGGACATCCGATGATGGGTTGGAAACTGCATCGTCGTCCTTCCGCCGACGATTTTCAGACGTCTTCTCGACGACATTCGATACAGACAGCCCGTGCCGCGCTGTTGACCACGTTCTTCCTCTCTGATGGCATACGGCAGGTGCAGACGAGGAGCCTCACACGAATTGGATCACGACAGAGTTTCGAGCACCGTCGGTCCCCCGACTTGAACGATGGCGTGATCGACGAACACAACGTGATCTCTCTATCGAGACGCGTATACGTCGTCGGGGTGGGCCCGTAGCACGAGCGATGGGAGTGTCTCTTCCTCGAAGCCGGGCCCTCCTCCGATTCCTTCCTTCCTTCTCTCAGATTACTCTCGATTTTTTTGAATCTCTTCGAGTCCGCAGAGTTGTTTCAAGCTCTTCCTGCCGGCGAAAACTCGAATTGACCAAGTTTTTCGGTTCCGCCGCCGTAGAATCCTGTTGATCTTTCCAAACTTCCTCGCAATCCACGAAGTTCAAGGACTTTTTTGTGTCGATCTCGATGAGCGTATCGATCCTGAAAATGACAACAGTAAATGCCAGGTGAGCGAGAGAGTGACAATCGTGCAAGTGCGAGCGGAAAGGAAGAAAGAGTATCGTGCTATAAAATGAGTCCACGTAACGCGTTAATGAGCGGAACGAATAAAAAAATTGCGTCGTACATTACGTCGAACGCATTATGCGTTGCGTTCGACGCGTTTTGCATTCGGTGACGAGCTCGTAATACGCAAATAGTTGTTTCTAGCTTATCTGTACAGTAATCGGCGGAATCATTAGCGCACAAACGATTACCGATATCTCACTGGAATTATATAAGAATAGCAGTTACAATTTACACACAGAAATAGATCCGCATATTTCTTATAAACATGCATCATTCAAATAAGTATTGTTATCGTATCATTATTCCTTATCTTAATTTATAACTATCATTGGCACTCATTTTAATTGTTATAAGGTACCTGAGCCGAATAAGGCCCACTTTTAAATTTATTACTTTAAAACTCACTTTACGCCTGCACTATATGCTTAAAAATGTGTCATAGGAAATAAATAAAAAAGAATTAAAGAATTGGAATCGACAGCAACACGTTTGTTTAACACAACAAAAACTTGTGTGTATGAGGCTAGTATGAGCCATTTTTATAACAATCGGCTGCAAAATTTACCAGGGTACAATGTTTCATAATTTATTATAATTCATTATAATATTATTCAACTTCTTAACTATGGAAAATAACTAATAAATAATTTTTTTGAAATAAGTATAAGTATTTTTTTTTAACGTGTACTTATTAAATAAGACTCACTTATGTGATTTTATTATAGCTATTATTATTTGTTTGTTACGTATGGAGTTTACGCCAGAGAATAACAATTTTCAATGGTACTATCTTTTAAGAAGTCAAAATTGCATTTAAATTGCTAAAAATGTTCAAAGATTGAAAAGTTGATTACCAACAAAATTAAAGATGATTGTAATATTTAAGAGTAGAGTAAGTCCCTAAGAAATTTCCTTTTTATGATTAATAGTCGTTTTAAAACTGATTTAGAAAGAAAATGTTTACTTTCTTCGTTATTTTTAATTTATTTTTTATTTGGGCTTTATTATATTCATATACACAACATAATAAGGTCCAATGTCAGAGTTTAATAAAATTTTTTTTTTCGTTCATTTACATATATTCTATATAAATAATATATTTTATTTTTGGGAGTGAATGAAATGAAGATTTGATTCTCACTTAGTTTATTTCAATATCTTCATAAATAGAATTAAAAAAAAATAAAATTAATTAGGTGGGTCTTATTCAGCTCAAGTACCTTAATTATAGTTGTTTTTATAACACATTTATATTTCGTATAAAAATAGATAATAAAACGTAGAACGTACATTTAATTTTATCGTAAAAAATTTTTTCTATTTGTCCTAATTAAAAATTTTTATGTTTTAAATTTTTTACACGCCCGATATAATATTAATTCAATATGTGATTATGTTATGAATATTTTGTAATAAATTGATGTTGAACATTTATTGGTATTAAAATAACACAATTCATGAATAAGTAACAAAACTAATGTAATTTTAAAATGCAAACTCGAACATAAATAGATAAAAGATGAATGTATGTTAATTTAACAAATTATAAATGTTAATTTTACTGAAGAAATATGTTTCTATTTCCAAATGTGTCAAAATATTACATGTTTGGTATAAATTTTATATATAACGTTTATATTAAATATACTTTCTAATATATATTCATAAAACACGTTCATATAAAATTAACACAAGATGGACGTCGTTTGAGACACGTGTTAAATTTGACACAAATTTTCCAATTGTGTAAAATATGTCGTCATTAGAAGTGAAATAATAATATAATTATTATTATTGTAAATTATAATGAAGGAATTAAATACATAAGAAATCAATTTTGTATCTCTTAGAAATCACTAGATATTATTTTCTTTCAAAGCATGTATAGATGTGAATAAAGACAACAAACGTTCAGCCTTCTAGAACAATGTTACCATTGTAACGCCTTACAAGATAACGTAACTTGCGATTATTACTCGAGAATTGTGCGTTATTACGATAGAAATATTTTAATAATTTTGCACGTCCAAAAAAAATTCTCTTATTCAAAGCTAAAATTTATAATTTTATTCATCATATCAATATAAAATCTGCGAAATGCTTTACAATGAAAAGTGCTGCAATATTAAATTACTTAATTTTAATCATTTATTCCAAGATAAAAATTGTATATTTTATTACACTTGATTATAAATTTACGTGCTCACTGTTACATACAGATATCGTTTGATCGCACATATTGTATCATTATATTTGGAAAAAAAATCTTTCGATCAGTTATTATTTTCCAAACAACTATGACGTGTTTCTCTGTACATGGTACGGAATCGCGCCTTCCGTAAAACCGCGAGGAAGCTTACTTGCGTTTTTCCCCGTTTTCGGCGAGGCAAAACGAGCGAGAAGGTTAAACGCATCCGCAACTAATGGCAGGTTTCGAAATATCGAGCCTCTCTGCAACACACAACCAACTGTCGTTCCCGTCGTCGTCGCGGCCACGGTGTAACCTCGCGCATCACATGGCGTCGCGCACGACGAGAGGCACTGCCATTAATACAATAGCCCCGGTGCGTGCATGCGCGGCGCATGTCCACACGGCCCATTCTCTCGCTTCCGAAACATATGTAGACCGTGGGCGCGTTTAGGAAAACTCAGGGAGATCGATATCGTCGTCGGCCGTCGCGTCGACGACGACGCTTCGTCGCGAATTTGCGCAATTTATCGGCGAGGTCTACGGGGTGTCCGGAACTCCGCGACCGATTTCAACGGTAGGCCTTTCATTGGAAAATAACGAAAAGATGTAATTATAGGGCTAAAAATATTCGCGATCGTTTAGTTTTTATTTTTTGGTATCAAAAACGTAAAACTTTCCTTCAATTTTCATTAGGAACATAGAACTATGTTCTATTAAAGTTACTATTGGAACTATTGTTTTTCTAAAAATTAATAAAACATGCCAATTTTACAAACATCGGTCAACCTCTCTCTATTTAGTAGTCTTGATAAGAGAATCGTTTGCGTTGTCGGCGTCCTTATATTATCCTTATATGAAAAAAAATGGTTTTGTTAAAATATCTGAAAATTTAAGTATTAGATACAGAAAATAATTTTGTTGGACCATTAAGATAATTACGTACTTAGGAAACATGTTGAGCAATGCTGCAACACGTTTTGACATTGTAACAGCCAATTTAAGTGTCCTACACAATTATTTGATAATCCAACAGAATTATCTTCAGATCTATATAATTGAGCTAAATTTGTAAATACTTCAGTAAAATTATCCTTTTCGAGTACGTCTTCTAAAAATGTTATCGAAATTAGATCTACTTGTCACTGAATTACATATTTCTTTCCTACGTCGATTTGAATTGAGGTCAAAGTAGGACGTCACATCCTGCGAGCAGAATTTTCTTTTAAAACGACATTACCCCAACGTATTAAAACGTCGCTTACGATGCATGAAATATTTTTCTCGCTATCCGCGGATATATTAAGTGACTCATCGTGTAGCGATTCCGTCCGTACCACTACAGATGCGGTAGCGAAAAATCACCGACACATGGTCGCACAATGTGAATTTAGTAGAGGCAACATAGTGATTGGCCCGCGTTTTTTTTTTTAGCACCACGCGTAGTGAAGTACTCGAATCGAATTCGCGCCTGAAATAAGCCGAATGTAATTAATTCCGAAACCGCATTACGTAGCGTCGTCACTCATCATTTTCACATTATGTTCTTCAAACAAACGTAACGCTCGCTTTAAGGTGCTTACGTCACGCGAAAAACATGGTCTAGCTACAAAGTGCAACCGCCGTCTTTTTTTACCCGAAAACCGCATCGCGTTATCCGCAAAAGGTGGTTTCCACGAAAATAATGTGACTGCATTGTACAACGTATTACATGGAAACGTTGGAATATATCCGTTCCAAAGTCTCCGTTCTTTTCTTATTAAATTATTAAAACTCGTACCCTGTGACCGAAATATTTCGTCGTATAAATATGTAAGCGCAGATAAATTGAATTTTAAGAATGTATCTAGCACACAATATCTTCTTCCATAAAACCGTCGAAGATTTCTATATAGACAACAGGCTATTTTGCAACGCCTGCAATTATTATTTCATGGCAAGCGAATACAATTTACAATAGCAAGAAGAATTGAGATAAGATCCTCTGAAATCGGTTTCAATTATAGAAAATGCCGATAAGAAATACGAGATTGAGAGAAAGAAAGAGAAAGAGGCACACGGCCCTGTCGACTTAGGTCGTAACGTTTACGACACGTCAGCATTATGAGGTTAGCACTTCAAGTGGTACTATTTAAATAACCCCGCTGCTCCTGTGTTACATAATTTAAAGGGCCTCGAAGGAAAAACTCGTAACTCTATCGGCTTGTTAAGTAAAGACTAAACTGAGATTAGAAAGTTGTGAATAAAATTATATTATTACTATTACACCGCTACTTTCCTTAACTATCTCTCTATCTCCTTAGAATGACATTAAATATGTTAAATATATTATTCAATTTCAATTTTCAATTTAATAATCGTATAATTTGTCTTCCGAAAATTATATATTTTAAATTATATAACTGCACATCGTTATTATTTATAAAATATTATTTTTAATTTTGGAAAAAAAATTCTATCGTAATTGGAGTAAATTTTGATAATAAAGAACCTTTCTATAGAAAATAAAAACTAATATAACTTAAAACTGAATTTTTTTCATTAACATAATATAATATCATACGTTGCCAAAGATAAAAACATCAGTAACACACTAAGGCACAAAGATTGGCTTTCCTTCTGGATTTAGCCAAAATGGCCAATTTCACTAGTAGTTCCATAAAAAACAAGGACGATGTTAAAAAGAAGACTACGAATTCGTAGTCTTCTTTTTAAAAATGAAAGGTTTTGCGTAACCACGACGATTCTCAGGAGCCCTGGACGAGCCGCACAGTCCTCGAAACACACATCAAAACATCGGCTGTAGAGGTAGACCTATACAATTTGATGTATACAATGCGAGTACATTGTAACTTCTTCTTCGAACAGTGGCTTAGGCGATGCGATCGCGTGACATGCCCTTAGGGCGACCGTGGGCTTTCTCATTAGACCGAGAAAAAATTTAACGCAGAAATGAGAGAATCCACGGGATCGAAAATTAGACGGACCCCGTGTTCGTTCGTAGAAAATGTGCCACTGCCATTGTCCAATTTTTATCCTGCCATTATTGCGATTCGCCCCTCGGGGGCGAGCGTGTGAGAGTGGAAGGAGAGAAATGTTTGTTCCTTTCAAAAATGTATTCGCTGCACCATGAAGTAATCAATCGTTCGCTATCGCGGTTGGGCTTCCCCCTCCTCTTCCTCGAAGATAATGGATGTATCCGTGTAAATGAGTCCGAATAGCTTATCGTTGCGAAACAAAATTGTGGAATTTACTCTGAAAGAAGTCGAGTTACTAATGGTATGTTTAGAAGAAAAACGCGAAAGCTTGCATGTTTCAAAAGGGATAAGAGTTATTTAACACTGAAGATTATGTTCAGTGTGTTAGATATAGTTCCTGTACAATGCATGTTTAGTAGCGACTAGAAAGATGTAAGACCAAGAGATATAAAACGTCTTCTTTTGAGGTTTACGTCGTGAGGAGATTGATACTATAATTTAATAATCTGTCAATAATAGTGAAACTAAAAATGCCATAGAAATTCTAGAGATAATATCGGAGTCAAGTTTGCAAGGAACATCTGTTAGATTATTAAATAAAGAGGTATTTTGAAGATCATAATCAATATGTTAAACTAAAAATGAAAATGTGGTTCATGGACAATAAATGTTTCAGTAGCAACTAGAAAGATATAAGGAATTATAAAGATATTAAAAGTTTTCTCTCATATCGAAAAGAAATGGATATTATAATCATAATTTGATAATCAATAATAGTACAATCGCTAAGAATACTACAGAAATTCCGGAGACACGAATGTCAGAGTCAAGTTTGCAAAAAAATACCTGTTTTAAGTATAGATAAACGTCAAGCATTGAAATCTGTTGTTTCAAGTATAAATCAGAGTTTCCGATAATCTCGAAAGGTTCCTGCACTGGTCAAAAAGGATCGTTTTGCCCCAAACGTCACGCAGCATCGTCCTTTTCAAATTAAGAAAGAAACATGAGGGTCTGTCCCTTTCAGCAACACCATTCTGCGGCTGAAACCCGTGACAAAACACGGGCGTTTACACGTCGTTTGCCCATTGACACCTCGAAAAAAAAAGAAAAGAGAACACACATAAACATTAGGAAAGCATTGTGGAAACTGTCACCGAAAGAAAACAGGCCCTTCGAGGCACGAGACTCGGATCGAAAGAGAGGGAAGAAAAATGCAAAAAAAAAAAAAGAGGATACAAAACACGCGTCTTACCTCGTCCCCGCAGACTTGCTCCTTCTCTCTTCCTCGCAGGTAGACCGTTGTGCGGCGAGATGCGATGCGATGCGATGCGGCGCGGCGACGCACAATCGAAAGCGCGATGGTGAACGCCGCGCGAGAGCGCGCCACGGACGCGGCGGCGCGCACAGCGGAGCGCGACGAACTTGACTCTCAGCGGAGCAGCGGACCGTCCGACGAGCGAATAAAAACGGAACGTAGAAACCCGGCCGCTGCTTTCTTGCGGCGTCGCGCGCGATCCGGCGCGCCGACGTGCATTATAAAGCGGAATTGTATATTTCGTTTCGTGTTACTCTCTCGCGCGCGCGCGCAACACACCCGCGGTAAAACCGCGGCGAGAGAGAAACGTTTTCGCGAAACGGCAACACAACACGCGGGAGGACTCGACTGACACTGACTGACCGACGACCGACTTATCCGCGGAACAACGACGATTCCATTCTCGCTTCGTGCTGCCGTCGGCGAGTTTGAGGTCGAGGCTGTATATCTTCTCCTTTCTCGCTCTTTCTCCCTCTCCCTCTCTCTCTCTCACCCGTTTCCTCTTCCTTTCTTTCGCAAGAGAGGCCCCGAAGTCTGGAGCGCCGCTCCGAAAAAACGTAGCACGGGGGACGGACGGCGGAAACGACGCGCGCACAACAGTCGCGAGAGCCAGCTGCGAGAGAAATATCTGAGAAATACAGAGCGACGTGTCTGCTTCTTTTTCTCTCTCTCTCTCTCTCTCTCTCTCTCTCTTCCTTTCCTCTTCCTCCTCTTCTACCGTTCTTTCCGCAGAAAAACACAGTGGGGCGCCACGGGATGCGGTTGATACGCATACGCGTCCGCCTTATCTCCTTTATATTCCGCTTCGCACGTGTGTCGGAAACGCGCGTGCCAGCGCGACGTTGCTGCGCGATGCAACGACGGCGACGACGACGATGATAATAATAATAATATTAACGACGACGACGCGACGCGACGCAAATACGGACGTCGTACGGGGCGCCGCGTCGCGCACGAGCCTTCCAGAAGGGTCTATCTGGTCGTGGTGTAGCTGTGTCTCGCGGCCGGCGGCCTCGCCGCTCTTCTCATCCTCCGCAGCGGCGTGTACCTCCTTCTAGCGCTGGCGGGCCCCGCTGGACAGTACACGCAAGTACGTCGCGGCGGCAGAACGTCCCGCCGCGCGCCCGCCTCGTCCCCCGCCCCGCCCTCCTCCTCCTCGCCCTTTCCCCCGTCGACTCCGCGCTCACTGCGAGAGCGCATATATGTGTGCGTGTGCCTGTGTGTTCTTTCTCTCCTCCTCTCTCTCACGCTCTTTCTCTGTTCCGTCCTTATTTATTATCTATCGCGCTCTCACTTGCACTTCTCCCCGCGACGGTTTCTCGCGATCTTACCAGGCACGGTCTCTGTCTTTCCTCCGTCTCGCTCTATCTCTCACCGTTTGCACGCAACAGACACACACCGCGCGTTCTCTCTTCCTCTCTCTTTCTCGTCTCTCCGCGTTATTGCGTATAACGAAGCGCGCGTAAGTGTGTATGTGTGTGAGTGTGTGTACGTGTGTTGTGTGGACAGGGACGCAGAAGGAGAGGAGACGTAGCGTGCAGCGGTGACGACGATGACACCACGACGACGACGACGACGATGACGATGATGACGACGACAACGACGGACGGAGAGCGCGCGCGCGCGCGCTGTCCGCTCAGGGTGCGCGTTTGTGAAGTTGGGCGCGCGCGTGATGTGTCTCTGTGTGTACTTCTCGATTAGCGCGACCCGACGTGCGTGACGTCACAGCAGCGCGACGACGTTACATCGCCGCTCGTTCTCCGGGCCGATTGTCACTCGCGCCGCGAGATCGCGACGACGGGGAAAAAGCGGAGCTCTCGCTCGAACGAAACGGAGCGAAACGGGCGTGGACGTAAAACGCGGAGGAGACTTCCACGGCCGCCGACAGCCAGCGACGACGACGAGAGCGGCGCCGCGCGCGAGAGCGAGAGCAGGGGAGAGAGAAAGAAAGAGAACGCGGAGCGGCCCGATATTTTGTGTCACTGACGCGACGACTGTCCCGTATCGTGACGTGAGTACGCCGCACTTATTTTCCCCACCGGTTTCACGCGAAAACGTTGGAAACGTCGACGATGAAAACGGGCGCGAGCGACGCCACGCTTTTGCTTTGACGGCACGCGCGAACGAACCCGCGTTTAGTACCACTCGTGAAACGACTGACGACTCCCCGTCGTACAACGACTGGCGCGGCCGCACCACGAACGACGATTCCGAGTAGGAGAGGGGAGAGGGTGGTAGCGCCGCTAGGTGGCAGCGCTGTTTTATCGCGAGTGACTCCACCAGACTCCACCGCCGTCCGCGATCCGCTCCTCCAGGGGCTCCGGCGGCCACCGCGTAACGTGCATCGAGAACACCCGGAAACGACCGAGCGTCGCCGAAGCGCCACGAAGCCGCTTCAATATCAAGTGCACGACCCTATGCGGCCGCATGCCGCATGTCCGTTCGTCGCGCGCGCAGATGGACGGATGATCGCGTGTATATATCGCACTCTTTGACGAGAACGTCGCTTCGCGTTGTGGTCCGTGAATTTTTCGACGCGTTGAATTTTTATTCAAACAAAAGTCTAAAATCGAAACACAAGACTTGAAATATCTACGAAATGTTTTGGATATTTTTGCAGGAATCGTCTGAAACTCTTATAGAAATCTGATACTGATCTGATCGATTTAATACTGAAAGACGGTAATTAATTGGTTATCTTAAGTATTAAAAATTCAATTGTTTAATGCTTTTACTCCAAATATATTATTACTGTCTTTCAGTAATAAATTGACTAGTATTATAACAGAGTGACCTCTGTAAAATTGACTAATCAGCTGTCATTTTTAAACGCATATAGGAAATTGGCAAAATAAAGTATTTTTTAATAAAAAAATATATTTGATAGTTTTATTTATATATAAACTGATGACGATTAAAAATATTTATATTTAATTAAATGTTCATAAAAATATTAAATATCGTCAATCTTATCAATTTTTATGATATATATTATATATTTTCTAAATGCTAAATTCGTAATGATATATATTTCAAAAATTTAAAATACTTATTTAACTTTTTGTTAAAAGAATGTTAATTTTTTAAATAAAGATTGACGATATTTGGTACTTTTATAAACATTTAATTAAATGATGCAAATATTTCTGATCATTATTTTATATATTTTTCTTATTCCCTATTTAAAATGACAGCTAATTAGTTACACTAACTTCCCATGGGACATCCCATAGATTTCTGTAAAGAAAAATATCTCGTAAGACATCTTTTTTAACTCAACTTCGTGTATGATTCATTTTTCTTCTTTTCCTCCCCACGTTGGAGGAAAAGAGAAAGAAGATGAACCGTGCAAGAAGTTCAAAAAAGAATAAGCTTCTTATATCCTAATTTTGATGTTGTTTGTAATTAGGTAAATTATCAAGTTTGTTGAAATGTCAGAAGAAAATAACTAATGAGAATATAATGATCTTTCGCGAATTTAAAGTAGCTTATTACACTATTACAAGAAAAATAACATTTTTTCTTTTAGAAAATATTTTATTAATGGTGTTATATTTTTATTACGCTATTAATATAATTCTTATTACACTCAAATTCGAAAATTACTTCAAATAGTCATACAAGTTTTTCATCCTACTTCTTGAACATCGAGAAGTCTTTCTACAAAAGACATTATTAATCGATCCGACATATATTATATATATAGAGATTCATTTTTGTTTATTTATAAGCGTATGAAAATGAGTCTTACATTACAATTATACAGACTTTTATAATATTTTTATCTCTCTCCAGTTCGACATACTTTTATAATATTTTTATCTCTCCAGTTTGATATACCAACTAAAAGTAATATATATATAACATTTACATTATAATTTCGCACTCAATAATATTAAAGTAATTTAATACATACTGTTACATAACAATTATATTGTTGAATGTAAAGTTATAATATCGATGTTATGTTGCTTTTAGATAATGTGTCGACTAGGTGGCTTTTATCTAACAAGACAACCTCACGAAGGACGCAAAATGCTAAATTTCGATTTTAATGAAATCTAATATACATATAAGTTTCATATACATAGATAAATTTAAAAAATATCAAAAAAAATATTTTCAGGGGTGAAATAGGTTTTAGCTTCTTTTTCATTATATCTCTAAAATTTTAATATTCCGAGATATTAAAAAATGTGTACAAAATTTTTACAATAAAAATACCTCTATCCACGTCAACATTAAAAAAAAATATTTTCAAAAATTATATTTTCAATATTTAAAAATACTGATATGGATAAATAAAGGTAACTTTATTATAAAACTTTTGTATAAATTTTTTATCTTAAATGATTTTTGAGATATAACGAAAAAAAGTTAAAAATCGTTATAATTAGAAGAAGTTATTGTATTCCTCTCTTGAACCATTTTCCGCCCTAACTAATTTTTCTAAATATTCTATCTGCGTACCTACATATAAAGTTTCATTAAAATTAGACTTTGACGCTTCACAAGATTTCTTTGTAAACAGGAAATGCATACTTGCACTTCCACACATTTTTCATCAAATTTCTCACTTTACTATTCCTGACTACGATAAAACAATCTCTCCATTATTTTTACTTTTTCGTCAACGATCTGCGTCATTTTCCAACTTTCAAATACGTTATCTACAGTTTGCCCGTTTTTGTCTTTGATGGTGCGATCAGTGATCCGTAACAATGACTGAAGGATCTCGACGCCTTCAGCGGAGCCGGCTATCGTTGGAATAGCCCGATGCAGAGCTGTCCTGCCGTCTACATCTATCAGATTGGGATCTGCTTTGTAGGTAAGCAACAGCTTGAGGATTTTAACGTGGCCCATGCTGGCTGCACGGTGCAAAGGCGTCGCTTTCAGACTGCGGGTGCACGCGTTCACGTTCGCACCATGCTGCAGCAAAATCTTGCACACGTGGTAATGCCCGCTCCGCGTTGCGTAATGCAACGCTGTGTAGCCGGCGGTCGTATCCGGCGTATCGACAAAAACGCCCTTCTGCAGTAGCTTAAGGACGCGATCCTCGTCCCCATCCAGCGCTGAAAAAAACGCACGAAAAACTAGTGCAAGAACGCAGAAAAAGAAGCCAAACTCCTCAAAATGTGAAATCTAAACTCATGTAGAACTGATCCTCTCAGACCGCAACATCATTTCTGATGAATCATATTCTCAGAATAAAAAATCATTAAAAAATATTACAAGCAATACAAAAATAATGACAAAGTACTA